ATATATATATATATATATACATATATATATATATATATATATACATACATATATATGTATATATATATATATATATATATATATATATAGTAAGAAGATACAAAGAAACAACGATAAATATGAGGAGACAAAGGAGACAAAAACAATAAACAGAAGGAGACAGAAAGAGACAAAAAAAACAAAAAATAAAGACAGAAGGAGACAGAAACAAAAAAGGAGACAGGAGACAGAAGGAGACAGGAGACAAAAAAAGACAAAGAAAAACAAAAAAGGACACAGGAGACCGAAGAAAACCAAGAAAACAAAAAAGCAAAAAAAGGAGACAGGAGACAGAAGGAGACAAAAAAGGAGACAGAAGGAGACAAAAAAAAGGAGACAGAAGGAGACAAAAAAAGGAGACAAAAGGACACAAAAAAGAGGAGACAAAAAAAGGAGACAACAGAAAAAGGAGACAGAAGGAGACAAAAAAGGAGACAAAAAGGAGACAGAAGGAGACAAAAAGGAGACAAAAAAGGAGACAAAAAAGGAGACAAAAAAGGAAACAGAAGGAGACGAAAAAGGAGACAGGAGACAGAAACAAAAAAGAGACAAAAAAAAGGAGACAGAAGGAGACAAAGAAGGAGACAAAAAAGGAGACAAAAAGGAGACAAAAAAAGAGACAAAAAGAAGGAGACAAAAAAGGAGACAAAAGGAGACAGAAGTTTATCTTACGATGGAGGCCCTTTTAAACTTTTCGCTAGAAGGAGACAGTTTGTCTGTGTCTGTGTCTTTGTCTTTGTCTTTGTCTTTGTCTTTGTCTTTATTTTTATTTTTATTTTCTTCTTCTTCTTCTCCCGGCCTCAACCCCCCACAGAAACTAACACGAAGACCCCGACCCCTGTAGCTTTGTCTTTGTTTTTGTTTTTGTTTTTCTCTCTCTGTCTCTGTCTCTGTTTCTGTCTCTCTTTCTTTATCTCCTTCTCTCTTTGTCTCTTTCTCTCCTTCTTTTTCTCTTTGTCTCTCTGTCTCTGTCTCTTTTTCTCTTCCTGCTAGACTGTCTCCTGCTGCTGCCTCTGCTGCTGCTGCTGCTGCTGTTGCTGCTGCGGCTTCTGTGTCTCCTCCGCTTGTGGGGGCCCCTGGGGGGCCCCCTGGGGGCCCCCCCGGGGGGCCCTCCTGGGGGCCCTCGGGGGGCCCCAACTGGGTATTGTCTTGTTCTTGCTGCTGCTGCTGCTTCGGCTGCTGTGCTGCTGCATGCTCCTCAGCAGCAGACACAGGGATTCTGCTGCAGTCCTCAACGGGGCCTTCAGCAGCAGCAGCAGCAGCAGCAGCAGCAGCAGCAGCAGCAGGTGTTTCTGCTGCGGCTGGTGCCTCTGGAGCCGTCTCCTTAGGTGTCGACTCCTCTGCTGCTGCTGCTGTTGCTGCTATTGCTGCTGCAGCAGCACTGCTCTCGCTGCTGCTGCTGTCTGCTTCTGCTGCTGAAGTTGTGGGGTCTCCTGCGGGGGCTGGACCTTCGGCTGCAGCAGCAAACAGCAGCAACAGAGCAGCAGCAGCAGCAGCAGCAGCAACAGCAGCAGCAGCAGCAGCAGAAGCAGCACGTATCATTGACAGGGTACCTGCTGTTAAAGAGAAGCATGGGGGCCCCCTTGCTGCTGCTTGGGGGCCCCTCATTATATATGTCTTTCATCTGCTGCTGCTGCACTTACATGGGGCCCCCCTGTCTCCTTCTGCTGCAGCAACTGTCTCCTTTTCCTGTCTCCCCTCCAGCTGTCTCTGCACCTCAATTAACTCTGCTGCTGACTCAGGGGCCCCCTCAGGGGCCCCCTCAGGGGCCCCCTCAGGGGCCCCCGCGGGGGCCCCCTCATAGACTCCTTCAGGGGCCCCCCCAGGGGCCCCCTCAGGGGCCCCCTCAGGGGGCCCCTCATGCTGCTCTTCAGGGGGCCCCCCAGGGGGCCCCTCAACCGGAGCCTCAGGGGGCCCCTCGGGGTGCCCCTCAGGGGGCCCCTCAAGGGGAGCATCGGGGGGCCCCTGACAGGCGCTTGCTTGGGGGGCCCCCCCTGGGGGCCCCTCTGGGGGCCCCTCTGGGGGCCCCTCCTCTGCGGGGGGTTGAGGGGGCCCCTCCGGCAGAGCGGAGGCCCCCTGAGGGTATTCATGTGGGGGCCCCTGTGGGGGCCCCTGTGGGGGCCCCTGAGGGGGAGAAAAAGAAAACACAGAACCTGGGGGCCCCGGTACCTACACGCAAAACACAAACCACACACATACGCTCGAAACCCTAAACCCTAAACCCTAGTAAACCCTAAACCCTTGTAAACCCTAAACCCTTGTAAACCCTAGTAAACCCTAAACCCTAGTATACCCTAAACCCTAGTAAAACCTAAACCCTAGTAAACCCTAGTAAGCCCTAGTAAACCCTAGTAAACCCTAGTAAACCCTAGTAAACGCTAAACCCTAGTAAACCCTAAACCCTAGTAAACGCTAAACCCTAGTAAACCCTAAACCCTATCAACCGCTACTACATAGAGGTGCTGTGTGTGAGCTGCAGCCTTTGCCTACCTCAGGAGCCCTTGGGGGCCCCTCTATACCGACAGTGGAGGGGCCCCCTGCCTCGCCGGGGGCCCCCTCAGTACCCTGCGGGGGCCCCCCTTCTCTGGTACCCTCCCCGGGGGCCCCCATAACATCTCCATAGCTGTCTGCTGCAGCAGCAGATGCAGCAGCAGCAGCGGAGCCATCGCTGTGCGCTGCAGCATCAGCAGCAGCAGCAGCAGCATCAGCACCAACAGCACCAGCAGCAGCAGCAGCAGCTGCTGCTGTTGCTGCAGCTGCTGCAGCAGGAGCAGCAGCAGCGACAGCATCCGTTTGTCTGTCTCCGCTGTAGGTGGTGTGTTGTTCTGTGTTTATACTGGTGGGGTTGCTGCTGCCTGCACCCCTATATATACTTGTACAAACAGAAAGGGCGCGGGGGCCCCCAGGGGGCCCCCCAGGGGGCCCCCCAGGGGGGCCCCCAGGGGCCCCCAAAGGAGAAAGGGGCCTCGGGGTGTATGTAGGGGTCAGGAAGCAAGACCCTCTAGTACCCTTGGGTCTGCTGTATAAGCGGGAGGAGAAGGGGCCCCCATAGTGCTGCTGCTGCTGCTGCTGCTGCTGCTGCAGCTGCTGCAGCCGCAGCGGAGGTACTAGGGGGCCCCGCATGCATAGCGATGAGCCGGGGGCCCCCAACCCCCCACTGCACCAATCACTACCTGCAAAAGAAACACACTCAAACAAACATCTGCTGCTGCTGCTGCTGCTGCTGCTGCTGTTGCTGTTGCTGTTGCTGCTGCTGCTGCTGCTGCTGCTGTTGTATATCGGACCTGCAGCAGCAGCAGCATCAGGGTGGCTGCTGCTCTCCTCTCTCTGTCTCCTCTTGAGCAGCGACTGTGCCGTTTGCTGCCGCAGCTCATCCCCAGACAAAGGCCTGCTGCTGCTGCTGCTGCTGCTGCTGCTGCTGCTGCTGCTGCTGCTGCTGCCTTCATCAGCAACCTCACCACCCCCACCCAGCACACTATCAAACCGCAGCCCCCGGCTTCCTCTGTTACTAAAACAACACCCCCCCCCACCAACCCCACCACTCGGGGGGCCCCCCATACCATGGGGGCCCCCCTGGGGGGCCCCCACACCCTGGGGGGCCCCCTGGGGGCCCCCGAACCCCTGTTGTGTTGTGTTAGTATTATTATTTATATTATTTATATTATTTATATTATTTATATTATTTATATTTATATTATTTATATTTATATTATTTATATTATTTATATTTATATTTGTTTGTGTTGGTTGTAGTTGTTTTGTTTTTGCTGCAACAAATTTATCTATGAGGAGGAGGAGGGGCCCCAGGGAGGGTTCAGTTAGTGCTGTTGGTGTTTGGGGGCCCCCCTCTATATCTTCTCTCTCTTGCTGCTTCT